GATGCTTGAAGTAAAAATATAATTTAAAAAACACAATAAACATGTGAGGCAAGTTAACTGAGATATCTGAAGAGAGAATTTTTAAATGAGGAGAGCTGAGGAAATGATCAAGAATGATACACAGAGAGATTAAAAAGAAATAAAAAGAATTGAAGAATGAGAGGAGCTAACTTACATTATATAAATTTGTATACACATATGCACACACACACACACACACGAGTACTTCAAAAATTCATTCAAAAATGGAATTAAATTACAAGTTTATTTTGTTGTAAAAAATTTTTTTAAATTCATGCATAGTTTTTTGTAATATCAATTTTCCATGAACTTTTTGAAGACTTTTAGCATTTCAGAGGAAATAGAATGTGGAGAGATGTCATGGCCAGCCCCAGAGGCCAGACAGTGGATAGAATTCCACTCCAAACTGGATCAGATGTTGAAATCGATGTTGCCACATCCACACATATCGTGTTGGTAGGAAAGGTTTGCTGTTCACATAATGAGGCTTCCTGGGGAAGTTAGGACAGGTAGGGAAAAAATATCTTGAGAGAACAAGAAAAGCAAACACTTGGGGGTTTGTGGTGGTTAGGATGTTGGATAGGGTGGGGTGTGATTCCTGCATCTAGGCCAGGGCTTATGTGATTTGAATTTCCTGCTGGTAGCAAAGGAGGAAACACTCAGGCTTGCTTGCTTTCTCTTTTTCTGTTTCTTTTTTTTTTCTTCTTTTTTTGTCTTTCTCTTTCTTCTCTCCTTCCTGAAAGCATCTCACTGTCACAGTGCTCCTGCCTCAGATCTAGGCTGGCTAAGGCTGGAGGTAGATTGTGGCATAAAGACCCTGTTGGAGGTGACTCTGTCTCTCCCCCTCTCTCTCTCTCTCACAGAAGAAATAAACTTTAAACAATAAAAATTAAAATGATAAAATTTAAATTAATTAGTAGGCTAGTGTCTACTGAATTGGATAGCACAGTTTTAGTTAAACATGATTATCTGCTGTGTGGTGGTTGCATGAAGATGTAAAAGGTAGAAAGACTCTCTTTTTGAGTTGAAGGACATAGAAGCTAAAGGTGAGGACATGTGTTAACAACTAGAGAGATACTTTCTCTCTAGTTGTTAAGTCAGGATGGGTCCTAAACAGCACTTTCACAGCCCCATGGTTCTCTCTGGGTCAGATTTCCCAGCTTGGACTAGCTCAGGGTCCTGCACATCACAGGAATGGCCAACACCATGCTAGAGAGGCCTGAGAGGGATTGCACTTGACACCTGGCCCCACCAAGCCAGAATCAGTTAGAAGACACTTGGCTTTGTCACCCACGCTATTGGTTGGGAAGTGACCTGGAGATTAAGGAGGTGAGGATGAAAGCTCATTGAGGAGGTGAAACATGTTTGCTGGTGCAAACATCTGTGTCAAGAAAAATGGGTCGCTGGTGGGTGAGGATAAGAATTGAAGAGGAGTGTTGGAGTGTTTTGAGCACATATACATTTCATGTCTGAGATGAGCATAGCTTATTTCCTCCTCTGACAAGACTTTTAAATCAATGGAAATGCATATACTAACTGCAAACACTGACAATAAGCCATATCCATGGCTTTGTTTTACATTTTTATTTTGCCAGAAAAATGACTTGAATGTCTTTATTCCTTTGTTCTAGCATTTCTAAAAATCACTCATCTTAGAAACAAGGGTTTGTTGTGCCTGACTCCCCTGGTACCTTTAAGTTAATTTTACTTTATTTTTTCTATGACACAGAGAGGGAGAGAGTGAGAGACAAGCATGGTAATCATGCGGTGGTTCTTGCCCCAACTTTGCTTTCCTGAGTCACCTTAGAAGCACCCTCACCCACCCTGCCTCACCTTATAGAACATCCAGATTGACACTGTGCTTCCCCTTGAGTTTGTTGAGGTGCTCTCATTTTGCAGGGCAATGAAGGAGGGCCACAGCCATCAACACAGCCCTGGCCTCTGAGGTGGCACCTCCCTTCATCCATGTCCAGGCCCTCAGCTCTGGGCCTGCGTAGCTGCCTAGGTCACTCCAGGCAGGGTACAAGCCTCAAGAGTAGGAAGCCCTGACCTTAGCCTGGGTAGCTGCTATTCCAGGCTCCTGGGAGTTCCTTCCCTCTCTGGGCTCAGGCCCCAATGGAACAGGAGCTGCTTGGAGCCAGGAGGATCAGGGTCTTCTGCTCTCACCATGGCCAGAGTGCTTCTCTGCCCCTATCTTGCTCTGGGCCTCTGCCTTCTCAGAGGGACTAGGGACAGAACCCTCATTTGGAGAAGGAGTGCTGACCAGCTGTGTCCCAACTAAAAGCTTCTGGTGTTCCTTTGGCTGCTTTGGCTACTCAGTTCCTTCAAAGTCTTAGTTCTTTAAGGCTCAGTTTCCCCATCTATAAAGCAGGGACAACCATGTCCATTTTGCCATGGAACCGTGAGGATTCAGCCTGGCAGCAATGATGTGAGTGGTCTTCCCGGCCGTGGGGAGCCATCCCCTGGGTCATGAAGGCAGCAGATGTCTGGCAGCTTCCTCTCTACATTCTCACAGCACTAAATCTGCCTTGGCGGCCTGGCTTTAGGGAGAGGTGGGGGTCTGGGACCTGGGATCATGGTGACATGCTGTGATCTCAGCCCCTGCAGGACAGAGGGATCCACACACTATGAGTGCCCATGTGGAACCAGCAGGAGGTTGGCATTCACAGCCCCATCACGCTCTATCTCAGCATCTTGATGTTTCCATGGCAACCAAAGATAGGCGTCTCTCAGTGCACAGAGAAGGCCCCACCTCTGGGCATCCTTTGGGTGGTTCCATGGCCTGTGGCTCTTTGCCAGTTCTTTTAGTTTTAATCCTGCTCCCTAGTGGCTGGAGAAGACTTTAAAACAGAGAGCCCTCATAATTACTGAGTTCCCTGAATGCTCCCCTGTGGTAACATATTTGGGGAATGAAATAAAACCACAATAAAACCAAGATATAAAAATATAGATTAAAAAAAAGAAGTCCTAGAATACTGATTTGAGTTCTGCTTAACATTTATTTTTCTGAAAATTGTTCTTTGAAAGTGATATAAACATGGAGGTAAATTTTAATTCAAAGGAAAAGTATACCCATCCCTGCCCCATTCCAACTGTTGTAGCCATGACCTTCAAGTCGCACGTGGCCTGAGCCAGCAGGGACTGACATCAGGGCTTGAGCCCTCGGTCCATTTCAAGCCACCACCATCTCTCTCTGGGATTTCCCAGGAGCCTCCTCCTGGCCACTGGCTATGGGTTTTACATAGAGGCCATAGTTGTGGGGACCTCTGAAGTCTTTCCAGCTCTCTTTCCAGCTCTAATGCAGTGAAATTAGGGTCCTTACCCTACCACAGGCACTCCGTGACCTGGCCCATCACCTCTGAGACCCCACCTCCTGAGCCCTGGAGTAACAATAGGTGTCCTGTCTGTGTGCTGGTACCTGCACCCCTGTTCACTCAGGTGCTTCTCCTTCCTGGCTCTCAGGTTCTGGGGTCGTGACTGATCTGGGAAGAAGGACCAGGAGTGGGCAGGGCTATGTGCTGGGGGAAGGGAGCCTGTGTCTGGTCCTGGAAGCAGCATCCTGCAGGTGGCTCCATGGCCCGTGGTCCTTCCCACTCCAGCCCAAGCTCTGGCAGGTGTCCCTAGGTTTTGGAGTCATTGTCACAGGCCTGTGTGTTTGTGCATCAGAAGGTCCCCAGGAAATAAAGACCATATTTGAGACATGGTAGAGGGCTGAAGGAACCTCAAGGCAGACATTGCTGTTGCCACATTTTCCATGCAGTGGGGGACGTCTCCTTTGTGGGTATGAGTGTGTATATGTGACTGGGTGAGAGATTGTGTATGTAAAATGTGTGTGTGAGTGTGAGAGTGTGATATGTGAGCACATTTGTGTGAGCATGTGAGTGTGAGTGTGACTGTGTGAGTAGGTAGATATGAGTGCGTGCGTGCGTGCCAGGTGTGCAGTGCACTTGCACAGAGAGTCGCTTACTCTCTGTCCTCCCCATGCAGGGACAGGGCAGCTGGTTGATCCATCATAGTTTTCTCCCTGACCCAAGGGGATAGTGGGAACTTCAGCTGGCCTTTCTCAAGCTACATGGTTGCCATGGTCACCACCAGAGGTGTGACAACCAAGGCAGTGACCCTGGGTGCATGAAGTGCTCAGTTCACTACACCTCAGGGGTCAGAAAAGCTCAGGAGGAGACTCGGGGTAGCCTGCTGTACCCCTTCTCATGCAGCCCTCAGCTTCATTCAGAAGCACCCTCCAGCCCTTGGGGTTGGTAGAAGGTAGAGGTGAGGGAGTGAGAGTCAAGTTTTGGCCCTGCCCGTGAGCTCACAGCCGCACCAGCCAGCAATGGGGCCAGAAGAGCCAGCATCCACAGAGCTGGGATTTCTGAAGGGGAGACAAGAGAACAAAAAGACACTAGATAATCAAAGAGCTGTTGTAGAGAACTCCTCAGACAAGAAGATACCGATCTGAAGTAGAAATGGCCCTCGAGTGTGTGAATGCACAGTGAACGGAGGCCCTGGCTGCAAGGCAGGCCAGACTCCTCGCCCTCATCCCCATTCAGGCATGCAGTGCACAGTCCCGGCACTGACCTTCGGCCCTGAGTGATATGGTACCATCTCATTTTGCAAAGGCAACAGGTGCCTTTCTCCTGCAGCTGTGCCTCTGCCAGTCCCATCTGCAGACCCTGAGCCCAAGCCCTATCTGGCCACTGCTCTGACCTCAACACCTTTATTACTTCCTTTAGGGCAGAAATTGAAGCCCATGGAATGTCCATTCACTGCCTACTGCTAGTTATTTGGGACATAGACAGGTAGGTAATTCCCATCTTTGTATTGAGATATACACACACACACAGATACACACACACATCTGTCTAAAGATAGATATGACTCTTACACAAAGTAGAATTCAAGAGGCCCCTTAGATGAAGCATGAAGGTCCAATATTTGAATAAATTGGGTTTGCCTTGTCTGTTCTTGCTACCCTTCCCCAGGTGCTCAGCCAGACGCCTGAGGACAGTTCCTCCAGAGGCAGACATGTGCTGGGGAGAACTTGGCTTCTGAGCCAACTGTGTGGTTCACCGTGGACTCCAACCCCTGGAATGGGGACAGCCACTTGCCCTCCTGGAACAGGCTTTTCACCAGGACAACCAGGTTGGTGACTGGACTTTCTTAACAAGGAGGCTAGGGGACAGCAAAAGCTAGTAGCATCCTTAGGGGAAGACCCACGGGATAGCTGTGGACCATAATCAACTATTTGCAAATAGATGTACATAGGGTTTGCAGACTTTTTTTCAGAAATTCCAAGTCTTTACAAAGCTAGTTTTACTCTCTTTGAAGCCAAGGAGCCTGAAACACCAGGTTTCTTTATTTTATCCAGATTTACTCAGTGTAGGGACCTTGGTATTTATCTACTAAAGATATACATAGAGGCTAGTCTATGCCAGACACTAGAGTTAGTGTCTGACTACTTCAGTGCAATTGATAGCCTGGAGAAAGAGGATGAGCTGACCAGTGGTCTGCCTTGAGACCGAATTGTAGTTGGTTCTATCAGCCATGAGGAGAGTGAGCAAGACGATGGAGGGAGGAGCCCGACCTGTGTCAATTGGTCAGGGGAGATGTTCCCCTCTGCTGCAACAGGGGCCTGAAGGAGATGTTGAAACCATTGGACTTGGGGAACTTTGTCATAGTGCTTAGACGTGTATTTCAACTGGGCGATCTGTGAAGCTGGGCAGCCAGGGACAAGCCATGAGCTGCTGGGTGATCTCAAGGGGCTCACTCACATTTCTACCCTAGGCTGGTTTTATATCTCATAGTTTGTGGGAGTTAGAAATGTGTACAGCAAGCAGGTCAGTGTTTGAAGAGTTAGAATTGCAGTATCAACAACCTATGAGAAAACATCAGATTTCTGCCCTAAAGGACACAACCAAATATGATCTTCACACCCAGGTTAAAACCCTTTGGAGAATGAGCCCAAATCCTCTGTAACTGCCTGGTGTTCCTACACACAACACTCCCCACCATGCTGAAGCACCAGGCACCCTGACCCTCTCTTACATTGTCACAGCCAGCTACCTCCTGTCTGTCAGCCTAGTCTAGGGCCTTACAATCTACCTAAAAGATCTGGCACTTTCCTGCCTCAGCTGGTTTTCTTGTCTATAAGACAGCACCACCAACACCTCTACCTTCCTCATTGGGAGTATTGAATGCTGAACCCAAAACTAACCTCAGAATGTCCAAGAAGTAAGTCAGGTAACTAAAAAGAACACTTGAGCTGATAATGGAAAAACCAACTACCCTCTGGTAGAGGGTTGGAATAAACTCCATTTGCTTCAAGTTCAGGGGCCTGAGCGGATAAAAGACCCCAGAGGAATGGGAGATGCAGACAGGGAAATCAGCAGGGTCCTGTGTCAAGCCGAACTGGCTGCCAGTCTTCTGACATTTCCAAGCATTTTCCTATGGATTATGAAGCATTTCAGTTCTCTGAGCTACTCTAGAATGATAGACTCTCCACCCACTGCACAGATCTTGGGAGTGAAATGCAAGGTCAATCCCCTGGCCTGAAGGTGGGGGTGGGAGGCTCCATAGATGGTTACCTGCCAGCCTTCCAGGGCAACTGCAGGCCAGGCTTGATCTTCGCCTCCAGGATTTGCTTCTTGCTCTGAAATCACTCTGAGTGCTTAGAGGAGGGATGTTCTGAAGGAGATGATAAGACTTGGTACATACCACCTTCCTAGCAGAGCCATGACAGATGTGGGAAGATGTCCACAGGGACCCAGTGAATGAGGACCACTGTGTGCCTGGTGGCTTCTCCCCCATGAGATGAGGTCCTGGAGCTGAGCAGCACTGCAGCCATCCTCCTACCTTGTGGTCTGAATGTCTATACCCCCCTAATTCAAATGTTACAACCGCACCTCCAAGGTGATTGCAGTAGGAAGTGAGTCCTCTGGGAGGTGATAAGGTTGTGAAGGCAGAGCATTCATGAATGGAATTAATTCCCTTATGAAAGAAGTCCCAGAGAGAGAGCTGGCTCAATTGCACAGTGGATAAGGGAATTGGATCACTGACGGCCAACTGCAATTTGAATTCTGTCTTGGCAGTTTGAAATATACCATGGTTTCATGTGACTGTGTGCCCCAAATCCTAAAGAGATGTAGAAATATAGTAAAGAGGATTGTGATGTAATCATGCCCTATTGGGGATGCTTTTTCTCTTTCTCTCTACAGACTGCATGTGCCCTCTGGCATATATATTACATACATATTACGTGAGAGCAAGAGGCCCCAGAGAGACTCTTCACTCCCTCAACCACGTGAAGGCAGCCAGAAGATGCCATCTGTGAATAAGAGGGCAGGCCTTCACCAGATGGTGGATATGCCTTGATCTTGACTGTCTCCACCTGCAAACTGTGAGCAATACATTTCTGTTGTTGATAAGCCACTCGTTGGTGGCTTTTTGTTATAGCACCTGAAATGACTAAAACATGCAGCTGTGAATGCTTGGGATGCAGCCAGGAACACGTGACAGAATTGTGATCTCTGTGACGTCTGGGGTTAAATATAGGGTGAATATTCCCTTTTTTTTACACAGAATGCTTGGGACAAGAATTGTTCGTTTTAAATTTTTTCAGATTTGAAAATATTTGCATGAAAATAATGAGATTATTTTGCAGGTGGAACCCAAGTTTAGACATGAATTCCATTCACAGCTCATGTCCACCTTCTACTTAAAGCCTGAAATTCCATTCACAGCTCATGTCCACCTTCTACCTAAAGCCTGAATATATATATATATATATTTTATACATTTTTTTTGTATTGCAGCATTTTTGACTGACACCCATCACATAAGAAGATCAAGTGTGGAATTTTCTCTTTGTGGCATGTTAGTGTTCAAAAGGTTTTGGATTTTGGAGTATTTCAGATTTTGAATTAGGGATGGTCTATCTATAACACATTATTAAAGTAATTGTAACTTTCTTAAAGCATAGCTTTTTAATATGAATTTTAAAAATTTGAAATGAAGGAGCTAGCAAGTGATGTGGTGGTTAAAGCACTGGACTCCCATGTGGTCAAACACAGTTCAAGTCCCAGACCCAGTGGCTTTTAGAACATACCACGCGTGTGTGTGTGTGTGTGTGTGTGCGCGTGCTCAAGATTCAAAGAAGAGAATGGAGGAGAAGGGATTATGGCATGGCCATCCACCCAGGGGATTATTTCTCATTCTTCTCTCTCCTCCTCTGGTGAGCGCATGAGCCCTATGGCAAAAACCATTTTTTTTTTTTTAAATAAAAGGGAATGACTAGGCAGATCATGGAGTATTTTTAGGCCAGTGAAACTATTACTTATTAAAACCATAGTGGTAAACATCTATCCAAATCTATGAAGTGTACAATGCCAGTTGTGAGCCCCTCATGTTAACTGGAGCTGAGTGACTGTGATACCATTGCCTGCTCACCTATTGTAACTTGGGCTTTTCAGGGTGAGGGTATTAGTAGTGAGGAACACTCCTGGTTTGCATGTTGAGGGGCAGAGGGTATATAGAACTCTATGCTTTTTGATTAGTTTTGCTATGCACCAAAAACAGCTTCAAAAATGTCTACTAAAAAATATTTTACCTATTCATTTTATATGGCAATTAGAGCATGACAAGGTGGCTAGCATCATATTCCTATTATACAGGGCTAACCTGGGCCCATGTCCACCCTTAACTTAGCCCTGTGACGTTGCACAAAATCAAAATTACAGTGTTTGCAGCTGGACTCTCAGTGGGGCATCTCAGTGGCAGCCCATGGGAGGCCTGAGGGGTGTGGGAGGGAGTTTCCAGGCTTCTCTACCTGGGGCTAGAGTAGCTCTGGGGCTAGAGTAGCTCTGCTCAAATAAGAGAAGCAATGAAGGTTGCTGCATTGACTGACTCGTCCTTTCATCTCAGATTTCTCTGTAGCATGCAGTGCTGTCTGATAGCATTTCATCCTGGAACTTCTTTCAAAATTGGAATGGATCCTCTCAAATTCTGCCAGTGAAATACACACCAGGGTCATGTGCCTGCATACCTCAAATCCTGAGGGGTGGAGAACCTAGGTTGTGTAATATGCTAAATCCTTTGTGGTCATTTCAATATTGTTCATAGTGCCTTCCATTTCAAGAAAGCATTTTCTTTCCTTGTCTTTTCTTATTTATTTATTTTTTTTGGAGAGGTTTTTGGTACAGGGTGCGTGCGCTCGCCAGACAGGCAGAGAGACAGAGAGACAGAAAGCAAGAAATCACCCCCTAGTGGGGATGGCCATGCTGCAACCCCTTCTCCTCCATTCTCCTCTAGGGATCTTGGGCACGTACACACACATGCCCAGCATGAGTTTTAAGCCACCGGGTCTGGGACATGAACCGCGGTCGACTACATGAGAATCCAGCAACATAGCCATTACACTAACTGCTGGTCCCCTTTCCTTGTCTTTTCAAGTTTGATCCTAAGACTGCAGCAATTCAGTCACATCTTCAGGCCCCACTTGTAGTTGTAGTTCTCTTGCTCTTTCTACCACATCTGCTGTTACTTCTTCCACCAAAGTCTTAAAACCCTCCAAGTCATCTGGGACATTTGGAGTGAACTTTCCCAAACTCCTGTTAATATTGGTATTTCCATCTCCCCCATGAATCACAAATGTTCTCAGCAGCATCTACAATAGTGAATCTCATACAGAAGGTATTTTATGTACTTGGCCCAGCCGCATCAGAGGATCACTGTCTATTGCATGATAGCTGTATGTACTATTGGGTCATTGGGAAAGTTGTGACACATTTTTGCAGAGAAAAACATATTAAAAATACATCATGACTTCTCTGATAACCTAATAGATTTCTTTTTTTTTTTTAGAGGTTTTTGCTATAGGTCACATGTGCTCAACAGACAGAGACAGAGAGACAGAAAGCGAGAAATCACTCCCCAGGGGAGATGGCCACGCCGCAATCCCTTCTCCTCCATTCTCCTCTAGGGATCTTGGGCACGTACACACACATGCCCAGCATGAGTTTTAAGCCACCGGGTCCAGGACGTGAACTGCGGTCGACTACGTGGGAGTCCAGTGACATAGCCATTACGCTAACTGCTGGTCCCATGACCTAATAGATTTCTTAAAAAGACTTAAAAGTAAAAAATGACTCCTTGATCTGCAGGCTGCAGAGTGGATGCTGTGTTCACAGGCATGAAAACAGTAGGAATCTCCTAGCACATTTTCCTTAGAGCTCTTGGGTGACCAGATTTCATTGAGCACTAATATTTTAAGAGGAATCCTCTCTGATGAGCAGAATCTTTCTCTCAACAGTCAGTAAATCACATGGTAAACAGATGTACTCTCATTCTGTCTTTGTTGTTTTATTTAAAGAGCACAAGATGAATGGATTTAGCATAATTCTTAAGAACCCTAGGGTTTGGAATAATGAATGAGCACTGGCTTCAATACCAAGCCGCCAGCTGTGTTAGCCACTAACAAGAGTGTCAGCCCATTCTTTAGAACTTGGAAATGAGACAGTGACTTCTCCCTTCCCGGTTGAAAGCCCGAGACGGCATCTTCTTCCAGTAGAGGACTTATCTATCTACACTGAAAACCTGTTTTCAAGGGTAGACATGTTCTACACCTATCCAGACTACTGAAAATTACTCCTTATCCTCTAGAAGGCTCTTTCTTACCATTCCTGTGTTTACTGGAGCAGAACTGTCTTTATCCTTCATTTATGATAAAGCATATGCATGCACATGAAAGAGACAGAGAGGCACCCTCCACAGGGACTGGTCAAGCCCCTATTCTAATACTTCTGCCCTTGGATATTGGGCACTTGCACATGTGCTGGGCATGTTTCAGGCTGACCAGGTTGGGGTTTCCAACCATGGTCACACATGGGATTTGGTTTCTCTTGAGTCATGCATTCACTCTGCTCCACAGAGCCAGCCCTGGCATAGCACTTTTAATTTCCTGCAAGAACTTCCCCTTTGCATTCACAACTTGGCTACTGTTTGGCACAAGAGGCCTGGCTTTTGGCCTGTGTCAGCCTTCGACATGCCTTCCTCACTAAACGGAATCATTTCTAGCTTTTGATTGAGGGTTAGAGACTGGTGGCTCTTCCTGTTGCTTGAATACTTAGTGGCTATTGTAGAATTATTAATTTTGACCTAGTTTCAATGTTGTGTGTCAGTGAGCAGGGAGGCCTGGGAAGAGGAAGAACGATGGGAGGACTCCTGGTCAGTGGAACAGTCAGATCATCCCAGCCTTCATCAATTAAGATCCCAGTCTTATATGGACATGATTCGTGGCACCCCAAAACAATTACAGCAGTAACACCAAAGACACTGATCACAGATCACCATAACAGATATAATAATAATAATGAAAAAGTTTGAAATGTGAAAATGATCAAATTCTGACACAGAGACCCAAAGTGAGCTCATGGTACTAGAAAGACAGCACCAATAGATTTGCATGATGAAGGGTTGCCATGAAGCTTCAAATGGCACAGAACACCTCACCTGCAAGGCAGGAGGTGGTGCAGTGGTAATGCAGCTGGATGACCTACATGTGAAAGGTCTTAGGTTCGTGTCTGAGACCACCCTGAATACGAGGGGCACATGTGCACGTGTGTTCCTGCTATTGGTGCCGACTGAGGCTAGGAGTGAATCTCAATGTGGGGGCCCTGTCGGAGATACCTGTCTCTATCTCTCTCAAAAGAAAAGAAGACATTGCTTGTTACTGATTACCTGCAGGGATTCTCTGATATGTGAGTCTAACTTGCAACAAATCAAGCATTGGGCGGGGGCCATTTGTGAACCACTTAACACTTGCTTAGTTTCTACCTTATTAGACTAGACCTTGGCTTTTACTGTCCCAGGAAAGCAAGGCCATAGCCAAGCTGAAAAGATGAATAAAACATAATATTAGATTTTGAACTTCCAAGAGCCCTGAGTTCTATTAGTTTAGTACTAAGATTGAAGGGATTTCCAAGGGTCATCAGACAAAATGCAGCTGGGGTTTCTATGTGAGCTTTAGTACTGTACTCCACCATAAGCAGAGATCCTCTGACACCATATTGAGGCTCTTCTTCCAAAACCCTGCATGTAGGTCCCGTGCTAGGAATTTTCTTTTTCTGCCCTGGTGATTCCCTGGGGCCCAGAGGTCTGCAAAGCTCAGTGAGGCTCTGAGCCCTGGGGGTCAAGGGCAGGAAGGGAATGAGGAAATCACTTGTTACTGTGTTGGGTGCTGTGACTTCAGGCTCTGTTGCAGTGGTCTGAGTAGAGAGACTTAGAGTTGCTGTGTTATTGTTTGTTTTTAAGTAAAAGATGACGCTTTATAGAAGTGGTATTTCATGTCTATGTAGGTGAACTAAAAATGTCACTGTAGTGTAAATTGTGAATTTG